TGCTGCATTAAATGGTTCTGAATCATATGAGACACTTAGAGATGGACTAAAACCAGTGATACAAGAGATTAATGAACTACTTGAACAAAGCAAAATAACAATTGACGGCAAAATAATAACTTTAAAAATTTACTTTGGTGCTGATTACAAGGTAAAAGAAACTTATACAACTTTTAGTTACAGTCACTAATTCACAGTTTTTATTGCTCTTTATGGGTATGAATGCAGCAAATTCAAATTATGCCTGTTTGTATTGCACTGTACACAAGAAAGACAGGTTCAAATAATTAATCATACACACTATAGCAATACATGTCATAACACTATGTACATGTAGATGGGATACATCAATTGACCCTAAAGTCTATCAAACAGAAATGGCTCGTTCACTGAAAAGTATAGAAGAATGTGCAAGTAAAAAGAGAAATGAAAATAAATTTGGAGCCATTCAGCCACCTCTGATAAAAATTGAAATTTCACAAGTTAGTTCAACCTATTACAATACACTTATGGATGGACATGTACATACATGTAGGTGATTGTTGATGAATTACATTTGTTGCTACGTGTATTTGATATACTCTTACGAAATGTAATATGGGCTGTAGTGCATAGAGACTGTAGCATAACTAAAGACAGCACAGTCAATATTGATTTATTAAAAAGACGAATTAAAGAATGTGGAGTAACATTTCAGGTTAGATATAATTAATATTAATAAAAACTTTAAAAACAATAGATATGGAAATCGAAAGATAACAAAGACAAACTAGAGTGGACAGCATTACGAGGAAATGATAAGCTACTATCATCTGTCTATCACTCTTGAGATAAGGGTAAAAAACAAAATGTTGTTAAAACCATTCACATGTCAGAGCAAATAATTACTGCAAATGATGATGCTAGCTACATATAAAATTGTCTGGGGATAGATTCATGTCTCCTTTGCTTCCTTTGATATAAATAATGGCATATACTGACACCACTGCTGGAATGACAGGTGCCAAAAGGACAGTTCTTGCTCCAAGACAGCTCCCGTTGCTAGATGCAAATATCAACCCACTCCGTCTCCTAGCGATGTATAATAAGATGCCCGTTTCCGATCCTTTTCATTTACTCTAATATCTATGGTATTGCTAATATAGTCTCGCCACGCCCCTTTGCTACCTGCGGGGCGAGAGTCTGCGAGACTATTGCTAATAATACTGATTACTTTTTGACAGCAGGGGCGTAGCTGGATCTTGGGTGACGGTAGGACAAGGAGACAAAATGGCGCGTGAATTGCGCCGCAATTTTGGCCACACCCCTTTTACGTAACAAAATGGAGGCATTTTCCTGCAAGCTGAGTGAAATCAGAGTGAAATTTATTATTAATATATTCATTGACACTGCTCACTAGTGATGCTATGGTCCCTTTACTGGTCACCTCCTCCA